GGACGGGAGCGGGAACGGGAGCGGGAGCGGCGCCGGGAGCGGGAGCGGCGCCGGGAGCGGGAGCGGGGAGCGGGGGCCGGGAGCGGGGCCAGGCGGGCGCCGCCGAGACCCGCGCGTTTCCCCTGCGGCCGGAGCGCATGGACCTCCCCCGAATAAATAAATAAATAAATAATGATAATAATAATAATAGTGGTGATGAAAAGGGAACGAGGCGCATCGCTGAGGCCTCGGCTCGGCAGCCCACGCAAAATCAAGACGTCCCTCTCGACTGTGCTTTTCTTAATTGCAAATGCATCACTCGAGTTTATTATCTTATTTTGCTTGTTTTGTTTTACTTCGTTTCATTTTCAGATGTGTGGTGCGAAGGGAGGCAGGAGCAATTGTTTTTGGATAGGCAGCCGAGGCGCGTTCCCGCGCGGAGCCCAGGCCCCTCGTCCCGCAGGCGACACCGGCCGCGCTGCGGACGGGGACAGGGACGTCGCTGCAGCTGCCTTAGGGCAGCTCAGGGAAGGCCAGAGAAACACTGCGTCCCCACAGGGCCCTTTCCCTAAATCCAGCGCTTCTGCAGCACTGGAATTAAGCTGGAGTCAGCAGCTCTGTTCAATCCTCTTTCCTCTTCCTTGTCGTGAAGCGTCTCCAGCAGCGCAGCCGCTGTGGCCGGAGCGGGCGCGAGGAAGGGGCAGTGGCGCTGCTGCCTTGGGGCCGCCGGCGGCACGGGCGGCACAGCAAGGGCTGCTCTTTCCATGGAAAAAAGCCCCGATGTTCAACAAGTTGCTCGGCATCAAGCCCCCGTTTCTGACAGTGGAGGCCGGGATGCGCAGGGTGTTGGGAGGGTGTCCATGGGCCGCAGGCACCCGGAAGTTCAGAGCAGCGGCACCCGGCTCCTGCCCCACACATTTGCCCTCTCTTGCCTTCATTTCCAGGCCTGGCACTGTTCAAGACGAGGGTCGCAGCCATCCCTCCGAAGGGAGTCATGTCCCTTTTGTGCATTTTTGTGCATCCCTCCCCATTCCTCTTTGTTTTATGCCCCCACGGGCGATTTCGATGCCAAAACAGCAGCACAAGGGGGGTGTTGAGCGCTCCCACGGAGACCTGCCGCAGCCGAGCGCTGTCCTCGTGCGCCTCGAAGTACCTGCCCTGCCCTCGCTTTGGGGCTCCTCTCCCAAGGCAGCAAGCGCTTTGAAGGGTAATCCCGCCAACCTGTCATCCCTGGCACTCCTGTGAGTCCCGGGAACTCACGGTCACTATGGGAACTTTGCCCGAATCAGCTGGTGGCTGCGGCACTCTCAGCAGAGCCCGTCAGAGCCCCCTTGATGTCCCCACCCCCGGCACACACATCAGGCATCGAGCATGAAGCATCCAGCTGCAGCATCCGCTCTGCAAGACGCTGCTGCTCCGCTCTGCCTGCCTGGCTCCGAGCTCACGCAAAGTGCTTGTTGCGGCTCACATGGAAGCTCTGGAGGGGTTCGTGGAAGCAACAGAAGATGGAGAAGAGGGAGAAGTTTTGCATGATAGTCCTTGCCCTAGGCAGAAATCCTGCATTGTTTCTGCTGCCGCCCGGGTTTCAGGTTTCTTTTTTCCTTTTCTTTTTCTTTTGGAGATTTGTTTATAGCCATAAACAAGCAAGACCAGCAGTGTCAGCACATTGCAGCAGCAGCGCAGAGCGTTGTCTCCTCCGGATGGTGCTGAATAATGCATGTGGCCTTTGATGCATGTCCCCTGTCGGGCTCCAGCTCATCTCCAAAGCCAGACCTGGTGTTTGGCGGCGTGAAGGCTGCAGCACTATCCTGCACGTAAGATCCCACAACAGCCTCAGCTCCGTAACACCCTGCTGGCAGGACAGCCCTTGTACGACTGACAAATTATGAAGGAGATAATGGTCCCAGGTGTGACAGGCACAGAATCCACCCACCAAAGTGGAAAACTCACTGTAGTTGAGTGGTTCATTGATCCCCATGTTTCTTCCTCTATTCACTCTGTACCGTTTCCTTCTGACAGCTCAGAATAAATTCAGCTTCTTATTGCTGATCCTCCAGCCAAGTCGTCTGTAGTTTGCGAGAACAACTTTCTGCCGTTCGTACAGCATTTTTCCTGCAGTTGGTCAGTGACATTAGCAGAGGCTGGCTCTTGTAAAGGAGCAGAGATCAGCCCAGCAAGGAGCAATCTTCGTGACCACTCTTCCTGTGAATCTTGCAATATTAATATTCTAACAGTAGTGCTCCAAACCTGCTTCATTTTATGTACTAGCCTTTGGAAAGGAATCACTGCTGCAAAGAGTTTACAGTGCAAGACCTGCTCGGAATTCCCTCTGTCAGGAAAACACAGCTCTGAGAAAAAAATGGGTGTGCTGTTCATCCTTGCTAGGAATAATAGCATAGAAAGCAACTCTCAGGCTCTCAGTTCCATCCTGCAAATTATTATTTAAATGCCTGCTCTTTAAAGGGGAAAACTTGCCTTTTTGGCAACCTATAATCAGTCTTGCAAATAGAAACAACCACTCCTGTCAGCAGTTTTCCTAGAACTAAATATCGTTGAGCAGAAATAAAAATGTAAGTAAGTTGAGCATAGCCTGTAGCTGTTGAGAAATAGTTTGGAATAAAGCACGTGACAGTGGTATTTCGCTGCTTTGGAAGCTGCTAGCTCCTGTGGGCTCTGATGGCTTCGCACAGGCAGCCTGCATCGAGCCCCGGCTCCCGGCAAAGCGTCGCTTTAGCTTCTCACTGAGGATGTTGGCTCATTTTTGCCGCAGCGTTTGCTGGACATTGGTGTCCTATGGAGCTCAGCCACCTCTGAGGGCAAAGTTAGGCTTTGGGAAGCGTATGAGCTGTAAGGCCATCGATGGTATAGGAGTCATCCCGCCGCTCAGAGTAATGAGCTGTGAGGGGAGCTTTAGGATGTGTGACCGGAGTGAAAAAGTGCCAGGGATTTCTCATTGCCACAGCGGTCAGGACCTTGGCAGGGGTTTTACCTCGGAGATCCTGGCAAAGGAACCCTGCTTTAGGAAAATTAAAGACTAAGCCTGACTGGTTTAGATGTGAAAGGTTGTTCCATACTGGCAGAGAATTTGCACATTGCTGCCCGGAGCACTAAGCCCTACCCTCCAGGGTGGGTATCAGAATCAAATCCCATCATCAGTTGTCCCTTCCATTACGTTATGGAATACCAGGATAAAAATAAACAACGGGACAGAAGTGCCGGCCTTGATTTAGGCACAACAAAGTTAGACACTGAGGCTGTTTTTGGTTTAGGAGACCAATTTCTCAAGTGACCTCCAAGTGTGTCAGCATCGGTTCTGAGGGATTTTCATCAGACACAGGGATCCTAAATGAGCTAGTTCTGACAATAAAGCTCATTCTAAGAGTGTCACCAGAACTCAGCCACAAAATACCGGTGACCTGCATGAGAGTGAGGGTCTATTTTCACAAGAGGTGCCTTACCTCAGTCTTGCTCACAGTGCTTTAAAACGCCCCATAGAGTGGGCCAGCCTGGTGGTGCCAGACCGGTGACCTTTGCTTGATCTGCTTTCCAAGAAGAAAAAAGATTCCAGGAGAAATAAAAATACATTTTTTCCCCCTCAAAATGGCACCCATTTGGAAGATTTATTCCAGAAAATCTCAGTTGTGTTGGAGCAGAGCAGCTCAAGTGGTAGCTTCCCATGCAGACCCAGGCCTCCCTTCTTAGGGATGTAGTTCCTAGGGACGTAGCAGTGACGAGATCCCCGCTCTTTACGGGTGACACAGCCCAACCGCTCGCACATGGCTCTGGGTACGCAGCCCCCCGACCGTGACCCCCGGCCGGGCACCCCGGCAGCCCGTCTTAACCACAGCTCTGCGGCGAGCGCCAACAGTCACACGCTCGTAACGCTTTAACCACAACAAATGTGTTTAATCCCGCACAATAGCCCCCTTATAGCGTCCCCCAAAGCTGTGGCGTGCGGGGGACGCGGTGACCACTTCTCACATATATAACATACACCAAACACATCCCGCCTGGCACGAAGACAAGAAGCTGGAAGTGTCACGCCGGAGCCCGGCTCCCTGACAGCAGGAGACATGTGCTTGTAAGCTGTCTCGAGGAGGATATTTGATTGCCCCCTTTCTTCTCCTGCCTCTCTCCCGACAAAAGCGGAGTGACCTCCCCCATGACCCGGCAAGTGCTGAAATTCCCCAAACACATTTTTCTGTTGTGCCCCGGCGCCGAACAAAAGGGGCAGAGGCAGCCTCGATACACTTGAAGTATGGGAGGGAAATGAGAGYGGCCAGCGCCGCTCCTCACGCCGGCCCGGCACCCTTCCCGCTGCCTCCCACGCTTGCGCGCTGCCTTCCCGGTGGCTCTTTCTTATTTATACACTTATTTATTTATTTATTTATCTACTGGGAGCAGGCCAGAGCCGGGGGGACGGATGGACGGACGGATGGGAGGCGGTGGGGGGGGGTGTCTATGTAATTGCAGTTTACACTGCGTTCCCACGCTGCTATTGTTGGTGCCTTTGTTTCCCATTCCCATCACGTGTGCTAATTAGTCGGAGCTGCCGGCTCGCTGGGAGGCGTGTGGCTGCGGCAAAGGCACCGGGATCGCTTCCCGGAGGGAGCCGGGCAGCGGGAACAATCCCTCGCTTCACGCCGGGCCCTCTGCCCCCCTGCCGGCTCTCCCCACGCACGGGACAGGGAAGAAGCGCCGATTGTCCAGCACAAGGCGCCCGCCTTCCCTTCCCAAAGGCGCCCGCGCACAGAGCCAGGGAAAGCAGCCCTGGAAATAACGTCCCAGCTGTGTTTTACAAACATTTTTTTCCCCCTTTTTTCTCCTTCCCAGGAATCCCCAATGTCTTTCTCTTGTGCATAAGAAGGTTCAAAAAAAAAAAAAAAAAACCCATGATTGTAAAAATTTCTCAGGTTATTTTAGCCTGCCCTTAGGAAGTGAGTCAGTTTTTTATGGGAAGGCTAAAGTTAGCTCGTGCCATGGCTTGCAGGGCGGGATGAGGGAAAGGGAGCGCGAGGCAGATGATCATTACCTGAGTCACAGCCTTGGCCCATTAGCGCAGGTGTCGGCAGCAGGGCCAAGCCGCACGGACGACCCAGGACCTGTGGGCACATCGGGTTTTAGAGCAGGTCTTTTTAATGCAGGTGTCCAGTTTGATCGCTCTGTGCATAGCCCGGAGCGCTTTCCCAATGCTGAACACACGAGACAATCCCTGGATCACACCTGCTGCCTGCAGACGCACCAAGGGGGATCCTTCCCGTGGGAACCACCGGGGTCCTGTGTCTCATGACCCCATTTGGGACAAGCCATAGTTTGTCACTTCCCAGTTCTTGGACGAACTGCATGAGGTCCCTCCTCGTTTCAGCTAAAGGGCCTGCATCATCCTAGCTGCCAAGTGCTGCAAAGACCAGGGCATGCTCCGAGGGAAGCAGGTCCTAACCTATTACATGGAAAAAAGGGAACGCCAGGTGCTCACCTGGGGCAGGAGAAGGTGTAAGCCTGCATTTACTTCCCTTGCAACAGTCTCAAGCTCATGAGAGCTGAGATTTGCTGACAATAACTGTATTCAGGCTCAGGGCAAGTAAATATAGGCTCTGCTTCCCTATACAGCTCTGCCAATGCCTAAGGAGAAGCCCAAAGCCATGCCTATCCATCTGGCCCATCGCTGTGGGACTGCAGCTAAGTAATGATCTAGGTTTCCATGTTATGAACAATT